TAAATTATTTCAAAAATAAATTTTTGGATGATTTAGGCTTGTGCATTGTTAAAATTGAATTTAATTAAGTTGGACTTATTTTATTTTCATTTTTGCCCTTAAATTAATTCTAAAATAAATTTAGATTAATTTTATGTCACACGTAAATCAGGATTAATATCCCGAGAAATGGCACGCAAATCAAGGCAAAAAACCCAAGCGCCACCAAGGCTAGTCGGGCTGCCTAGCAGCCCACATGTGGCTGCCTATGGTGCGCACAGGGGTGTGCCTTGAGGGGCTGTTGTGTGGCAGTGGGACATGCGTGCTGCCATAGTGCTAGGTGCATGGCAGGACTGCTGGAGTTACTTGTGCGTGCTCCTGGGCAGTGATGCAACAAGCCCCAGCCAACCTGCCATACGCTGCCAGGCACCAGCTAGCATGCGCAGCATTCGTAGCAAGCTGCTAGTGCTAGCTGGCGCAGCATACTACGCTGGGCATGGATGCTGGCACACAGCACAGCAAGCGCAGCACATGGGCTGCCTAGCAGCCATGGTGCGCACCCACCAAGCGCTTGTGTGGGCTATTTTGCTTAATTTTGAGCTATGCAATTTTGTGAAAATTTTGCCGTTTTAAATTATTTATGTAATTATTTTAACGAGGTTAGACCTCGATTTTTCTGGCTTTTGCAAAATTTTGATTTTGGCAAAATTATGGGTTATGCCGACTTAATTAATCGGATTAATTAAGTATGGATGCGGAATTTAGTGGGAGCTTAATTGATTACGTGAGCAATTTTCTTTTAGAAATAATGGTTTAAACCACTTTGACTAGTTTTAATTAGGCGCGTTAATCGGATTAACCACCTAAGTTAGTTACTAGTTTTGCGTGTTTAATTATGTATTTCGTAATATGCATGGGCCATTCACAAATAGTGAATGGGTGAATGGAAGATTGTTTTCAAAACAGGTTATTGAAAAAGGCAACTAGTAGGGCCCGACTAGGATAGAAAATACGGACTGCGTTCCGTTATGTATTTTTGTAAATCTAAATACGGTTTGCGAACCGTTAAGTATTTTTGTACTTTAGATTAATCTTAGTCGTACTAGCTAGTTATTTTATTTTGGCCAAGATGTCTCAAGACGGCGTTTCGATGAAGACGAGCCAAGATGAAGACCCATGGAAATTGAAGATTTCAAGGGGTCATGCTAGTTGCCAAATGCATCAAGTTATACTTTATATATATATTATTGTTATATATGAATGTTAGATGCATGTCTAGGATTTCATATGTTGCGACGATTAGTTAAGTTCACTTAAATCAAACCAACATAGAAACCCTAGGTCCCTTAAAATATTGAGCTAAAATTTGCCGTTCTAAGAACAACACTTACCGAACTAATGCGCGTATGTGATAGGCTACGCCAAAGCAAGGCATCACTACTTCCCTATGAACGTAAGGTATACTAGGTATACAAGTTGTCTTGGTTAAGCTCAACGATATCAGTAAGGAGTCCTTAGATGTCGTGGCAAAAGAGATAAAATGTCAAGAATGCATTAGATGCGACATTTTATCAAACCGAGAGTAGCTTGGAGCTATTAGCAATTGGATTGCTTACCTTAAGATATTTAATGATTAAGACAAGCCAAAGCATGCTTAACCATTTCTTGATCTTTGGGATCTCGGAATCATTTTATTCTCGCCCATAAGGGACAATTTATTAATGCGTGGATAAAATGCTCAATAAGATTGAAAATTTGCATGAACGCTTTTGAATTTTAACTTATTGGTTTATGAATGGTTTTTCATTTTAAATTCTTTCAATTGTAGAACAATGTCTGCAAGTAACTCAAACAACAACCAAATGTGCCCGGAACTCCCCAAAAAGTTGGCCTTTTCTTTAAACTTGGTCAACTTCAAGGAATGGGAGGAGGAACTCAGGAGAACTCTCTGGAATTGTTCCTTGGAGTATACTCTTGATACTCCCATTCCAAGCTTCTTTGCCAAAGGGATCATAACCGATGAGGCTCATGAAGAATGGTCTTCCAATTGCAAAAAGGTCTCACGACTTATGGCAAATTCTATCCCGAAAGATTGGAAGGAAACCCTTTCCTCCTACCTTCCCGACATGTTCCTCAAAGCACTTGAGGACGTTGTCAATGTAAGAGTCACCAAGAGTGACAATGGAAACTTTGATGGACTCGTGTTTGACTTGACTAGGTCACTCTCAAACATGAGGATAAAGCCACCAAACATGGGATGTCTTTCTAAGGAAAGGCGTCGGCTTTGGACCAAGGTCTACAATGCCAAATTGAGACCCGGCATGCCCCTCCGACCTCATATGCTTGGAATGACTAGGCTCTTCAAACACATGCAGCTTCTCGGAATCTCATTGGAGGATGAGATGGCGGGGCATATCTTGCTTGCTTCGCTCCACTCGGGCTATGATGCACTTAGAGTGCATATAGTAGCAGGAAAGGAGACACGCTCCTTAATGGAGGTGGTGCAACTACTCAGCCGAGCCACACATGTGGAATGACCGAGAGGCCCTTAAGAACAAGGAGAAGGGAGTTCAAGAAGGTCAAGGAGAAGATGTGTTGCTTCTATTGTGGTGGGCAAGGCCACTACAAGAGAGAATGCAAGCTCTTTCGAGAAGAGGAAGAGAGGAATGGAGCATCTGCCTCAGGTATCTTCCTAAACACTTGTGAATTAAGCTTATCATAGGTATTAGATACCAAGTCTCACTAGTAGAAAAATTGAAAAAGGCACCCCCATTTTGCCACCGGTTCTTGAAAACCAGTGGGAAAAGTTTTATTTTATTAAAAAAAAGATGGAAAATGGATTTGCCACCGGTTCTAACCAAACCGGTGGGAAAAGTATGTTTTTCGCACCGGTTCTAACAAAACCAGTGGGAAAAGTGTTATGAAATAAAAAAAACCGCTTATATTCTTCTTTCTTTCTCCTTCAATTCCTCGATCTTTCCTCCTCTCTCGTCTGCGCTACCTCTCTCTCCTCTCTCTCTTCTCCATTAAAACGAACCTCTCTGTACTCCTTCCTCTCTCTGTACTCCTTCATATCTTTCTCGCCGTACTCCTTCCTCTTTCCCTCGTCCATTTAAGCGTTTCTCGCTGTACTCTTTCCTCTCTCTCTCTCCTCCATTTATGCGTACTCGAAATTCTCCATTAAAGGGGCTTCTGAGCTTTCTCTCCTCCATTGAAGTAGTCTCTAAGGTTAGATGCTTCTTTTTCTTTAATCATCTAATATTAATTTTGACAATCTAGTGTTAATCGTGTATTTAATTGTTAGTATATACTCAATTTAGGGTTATTCGAAGTTGGAAAATTGAACTATTGGTTATACAAAGTCGAAGAATTTAACGTAATTTTTGGAGTCTAGTTTGATAATTGAGTCAATTTTGGTTGCTAATTTGTGAATTTTAGTTTATTTATTTTATTTTATAGGAAAAACACAAATTCACAAATTCTGGGGGTGGAGGAATGGTTTCAGGGGTAGAGTTTTGAGTCTACGGCGGTTTCGGGTCAGGGAAAGGGGTGGGGGTTTCTGGTGGGGAAAGGGATGGGAGTTAGGGTGGTTTCGGGTTAAGGAATTCAAGTTTTGGGCGGTTTCGTTGGTGGGGCTGGGGCAGGGGGTCTATTGCGCTTATGTGGCTCTGGAAGGAAGGTGGTTTTGGTGGTGGTGCAGGGGGAGGGGGTGGCTATTGGGGCTGAGTTGGGGAGTGGTTGTTGGGCTGAAACGCAGTCAAGAGATAGACAGGAGAATAGGGTTTTGGGAGGGTTGAAGGTGAAGGATGTTGTTAGTGGGGAGGTTAAGGATGTGCAGGTTTCTAGGTTGTTTTTTACTATTGGGCATGAACCTGCTACTAGGATTTTTGGGAATGAGGTGGAGTTGGATGCGGATGGGTATGTGGTTACGACACCGGGTACGACGAAGACGAGTGTGAAGGGTGTTTTTGTAGCGGGTGATGTTCAGGATAAGAAGTATAGGCAGGCTGTTACTGCTGCTGGGACTGGTTAGTGTTTGTTTATATGGTTTTGGTTTGAATTCTGTGTTATTGCATATTTGCGTTGTTGTGTTTATTATGTAAATGCTTGTGTCGTGTATATATCATTGTGGGATTTGTTAAGACATTACAATGGCTACCTAGTCGCGAACTCGAGCTTGAAGATTCTTGAGAGGTTTGGGGGCGTTTATATCCATAATCCATTCCTTTGATAGCTGTATATATTCATGTGGTCGAAAGCCTTGGGGTCCTATAGGCTATAGCCCCTGTGAGCTGTAGTATGTGAAAGGGGATAATGGAAAGAAGCTAGAAATGGTAGATTGTGCATAAAAGTTTGTTTACAAATCTAAGATTGCAGCGTATATAATATAGGTTAGAGGTGTAATTAACACTGGAAGAATAGGTTTAGTTGAGCCTTGATTAGGCATACATCCCTGTCCTGTATTTTGCTAACAAGACATTGTTGATTTTTCGGGGGGTTTGAACCGGTGGGGAATGCGTATTTTCGCCTAGTGATTACTTATAGTCATTTCAATTGAAGATACTTATTTTTTGGTGTTTAGAGAGACATAAAGAGCAATGATATAAATCGAAATGATGACCGGATTACGGAATGCACATTGTGGATTTGTGGTACAATCGTATAAGTGTTGTGATATGTTTTGTTGATGATGTTATCAGGGAGATGATTTGTGTGTTAGCTGCTACTACATTGACAGTGAGCTCAATGCTTATGCCATATCTTCTGCTCAGGTCAACTGCTTAGCTTGCTTATCTATTTTTATACAACTATTTTACAAATACACAAAGGAAGTACGGAATTATGTTGAGTACATTTGATAATTCAGTTCCATGGAAAGTCGAAAAACCTTTAAACTGTTGCCATGCTTCGGTGATTGTAAGTTGTAATTGCTCTGTGTAAATGGATCATTTGGTAAAAAAAAAAATAAAAAAAAATAAGTTGTTTGGATGAACTATTTTAATGTTAATTTGTTTTATAAAATGAGCGTTACCCTTGGCCCTGAATCTCCAAGACGATATAGAAAAAGTGTCAGTGGGATGTCTTTGTGGCTTGACGGCTTTAAGAGAAGTAATGTTGTTTCTGTATCTGGTATACTTGAGTTTGCTTACAGGTTTGCTTTCTGAAATTTACTTAAGTTTTTAGTGACAATGTTAACATTATTCCGTTGAGACATTAAAAATAAGGAATTGGCAATCCTCTTTATGTGATCATAGGGACAAAACCAAATTGGGTAGTGAAGATGAGAAATCTTATCAGTCCGATTAGTGCCATTTTTATAGATTGATCAATGGATTTTGTAAATGTTGCTAACAAATCAATTATGTTTCATAACTTGATGCTTGAATCTTGGTGTTAGATTTTATTACATATATGCTGCTGTTTTGATTCTTTGTAATTTACGTGAGAATCGTAAAAGGAGGTATTAATTGCTTTCTTATGGTAATAAATAATTGTCGTAGCAGACCTCATTACAGCTTATAATGTCATATTACTGTGTTTGGCTGGTGTCATTGCTTTGCTAAGAATGTATAATTCAAGTATAATTTACATCTTAATATGATTTTTGGTCTCAGTATCTCAAGTGCTCTCTTTCTCCACCCTCTTTGTCATATCCTTGTTGGAGAGTAATTTCTTGCAGATTCAAATCATGGTGAAACTACTGATATGAACAGAACTGTGATTGCACTTTACTTGATGACTATAAGAGTATAAGCTGGCTACTTCTTTTGCAGGGATTTGCAGAAGGCGACTCAGAATTTCACAACATTGGTTGGCCAGGGTGCATATGGTCCTGTGTACAAAGCTCAGATGTCAACTGGTGAAATAGTTGCTATGAAGGTGATGGCAACTGATTCAAAGCAAGGGGAGCGAGAATTTGAAACAGAGGTAATGTCATATTTTAATCAGTGCAACTTCTTAGCGGCAATATAATCTATACCAAGGTTCATCCTTAGATGTCCTGTGTGGTAGACAAGTTGCTGTCTCTTTTTGTGTTGTAGTTATTGTGCTGATTGATTCTTGATCTCACCTTCTTTTATTGCATGCTCTTGTTTCTCAGGTTAAGCTGTTAGGAAGGTTGCATCACAGGAACCTCTTGAATTTGCTTGGATATTGTACAGAGAAGGGAAAAAACATGCTTATATATGCGTATATGAGCAATGGCAGCCTAGCTTCCCATTTATACAGTAAGTGAACAAATTATATCTTCAGCATTTATGCGAGCCTAGGTTAATGTAGAAATAAGAGTGTTCCAGCCCTTCTAGGTGTCATTGCAATGATATGAAATAATCAGATTTAACCAACTTCTTTTCCAGGAAAATTAATTACTGTGCATGTAAATGGATACATTGAGATATGTTGAAAAGTTACGATATTTGATTTTCATCTGTGGATTGACTGAAGAACATCAATGATTAAACTACCTTGCAAACCTAGTTTTGTGAACCTTTCTTACGTTGGAGCCTGCAAATTGACAGGTTTCCTCATTTTTCAGCTTAAGTGATCCCATTGCAAGGATAATTGCAATTGGGGCTTCCATGCATGCAACTATGCAAGCTTAATTAGGAAGAGGTTCTTCTGTTAAAAGTGGCTCTATAGGAAGTTCTTGTCGCTTGAACTTCTTGTTCAGCATCCCTAATTGGTATCATCCTGTTCAGACCAGTGACACCAGTCCCATTAACAAAATCTATAGTTGTCTGAATAAGATTTTGTTTCCCTTATCATCTATTAATCAAACTTTGATTTTTCCTTTTCTTATGATCTTCTAGAGCGTAATTTTTATTGCTATTCGCGAGAAGTGATGGAGGGTAGTATCCGAATTGGGTTGAAATTTGTTGTGAAATAGAACTACAGGACTTGAATTACAATCTTGGGTTGATTATTCTAGTTTTAGGTGAGCTGTATCTTAGAATTTTACTACAATTAAATAGATTCTACGAATGCTCATTTGGACCCTTTTCTTTTGATTTTAGCATGGTGGCATTTTGAGATATTTGGGGAACTAAATTCTCTGCTTTGCAACTTATATACTGTTATAGCTGGACGATAAACTGAATGAATTGTAGTAGCGTAATAATAAGTTTGGGGAATGCTTTGGGTCTGATATTCCTGTTTGTCTGTCATATGGTTGGTTTCTTCTAGCAATAGGACATTAATAAAAAACCTCTATTTTGGCATTAAATCATAAAAAAATACATATAAGTAGGCATTCATGTTGATTTATAATAGGCTGATGAATAATATAAGTTTCCAAGTTCTCCTTCAGGAATTTGAGTGCATTAAATTTTAACCTGCCTGACCTGACTCGTGCTTCTACTGTATATATATGTAGTATGAAATTTGGTGTTATGCTCCCTTAATATTTCTGATGGAATTTCTTAAAACACATGTTGCTGAAAGGAATAATGTCCTTCCAACAAGTGTATTCTTCCGATAGAGGGTTCAGAATTATTACAGAGCTAATTCTTCAGTAAGGTCAAGTGATCGGAATGCCTAGGTGGAGGCCGCCTTCGATTAGTAATATCGACGTACAATTATTATTACAACTTGATCTTAACTGAACCCTTCGGGTCGAACCCAATCGAATCTCCGATCCGAGACGACGAATTAATCCGAAAGGATTTAATGAGTCGATAGAGTTTTACGAATACAAACGTCGGAAATCAAGCCTAGGGCGTCGAGACCGAGCGTCGCAAAATCACAAGCAACAAGTATGAGCGTAGCCGTAGCTAGGCTAGGCTAGCTCATCACAAGCCTAGGTGGACCATGTGTGTGCTAGGCGCACCATAGTGTGCTAGGCACCATCGCAGCCTAGGCGCGCCCTGGCAGCCCATCGCAAGCTAGCAGTGTACTAGCATGGGTGCCTGGGTGCGCATGGCAGCTATCGCAAGCCCCACAAGCACCAGGCAGCCCATCGCAGCTAGCAGCGTGCTAGCCTGGGTGCCTGGGTGCTCATAGGGGCTATCGCAACCCTGTCGCACCAGGCACAACACCCATGTGTGCATGCATGTGCGTGGGCACTGTCGCAGCCCCACAACACCACGCACAACACCATCGTTGTGCTAGGCACATGTGCGTGTGTGCGTGTGTGTGTGCACCAAAGCACAGCGCTAGTGCGTGCTGGCCTTGCGTGTGTGCTAGGCACCATCGCAGGCCATGCACCAAGCACAGCTAGCTTGTGCGCAATGCTAGCCTTGCGTGTGTTCTAGGCACCATCGCAGGCCACGCACCAAGCACAGCGCTAGTGCGTGCTGGCCTGGAAGCACGTAGCTGTGCGGGCACGGGGCGAGTGGTGCTGGCTGGCTAAGGGCCATGCGTATGCTGGCCTGGCTATGATGGCTATGCGAGAGCCACACATGCATGTGTGTGTGCCTGCGATAGCAAGGCAGCAGCACCATGCGTGTGCGTGTGCCTGCAATAGCAAGGCAGCCGCACCACGCATATGCGTGTGTGTGTGCCTGCGATAGCAAGGCAACAGCGCCCAGCGCCCAGCACAAGGCGTGGCTCGCTAGCAGGACGCAAGTGCTGGGCTGGGTGATGCATGGTGCGCCAGCCAAGCATGCTAGATGGTCGTGCGTGCTGGCAGCGCCAGGTGGCAGTTAGCCTAGCTGCCTTGCAAATGGCGGTTTGAGGGGAAGTGGGTGGGGACCAAAGCCACCAAGCTTCCCTTGGGGAGCAAGGCAATGGTCCCCCCCATGGGATATGGTCCTCACCTAACCCATCCTCTCCTTTTGCCACTTGTTGGCTTGTGATTGTTTTGCATAATTATTTATTTTAGAATTAAATAAATTATTGCAATTGCACATGATCCCACATTGATCATGAAAAGGGTTTCAAGTCCCCATTCTCTATAAATACCCACTTGGTTGGGATTTTGAGAATACAACCTTGAGTGGAATTAAAAAGGCAACTCTAAGAAAAGAGTAAACCTTTGATTCGTGAAACTCATAATTATTTTGTCCGGGTCTTGACTAACCTTCAAGACTTGGGACGCTCGGGTCGGGTCGAGGGTACGATCCGTCGGAGATCTCGTCTTTTCGGGATTTTTAAGTAAGAGCTCCTTGGGAGCGAAGCACGCGTCAAAGGTATAATTCTTGTCCTTAATCTTGTTTGATTAAGTTTATTATACTTGTTTAATTGCTTTAATTAAGGGGCGGGTCTTGGTGGGTTTCCTTCCGCGTAGTGTCGGGTCACTACGAAACCCTACAGCGGTATCGGAGCCACGCTCCTTTTAATTTTTGCAATTATTGTTTAATTAGGGTGTTTGAAAGAATTTAATTTTCTGGTTCATATTCATCTAATTAGATTAGATGCTCGTTTTATTTAATTTTTAAAACTCGATTTTATTTTCGATTTGGCTGTCGAACCCAGATTTTGGCTCAAAAATAGTGATTTTTTGGTGGAATTGACATTCTGGAACTATTTCAGTCCATATAGGGTTATCCAGAAACCAAATTCGAACCAGAAACCAAATTTTTCTGGGGTTTTTCGTTTTTCAACGAAAATTTTAATTCTTTTTAAGCCTTGATTAATGCAAGTATTACAAGGTTAGATTAAATGCACATTTGCATCACTAATCTACTGTTTTTAAAATATCCTTGAGCATAATAATGGAGTGTTTATTAGTGCTTAAGTTGATATACGAAGTTGTCACATAAACTTGTTTTTCACAAATTTTGCAAATAAATTGCAATAAGGTGTGAAAACTTGTTGTGATTTTGTATTTTAAGTTCCCAAGATATGTTAAAGTTATAATTTTTAAAGGTTTAAATGATTGGAACCCTAACCCTAAATTCCATGTTGAACAAAGTTTGGATTTTTTTTCATGTTTTGGTTGATTAAAATCCATTAAGTTCAATTACTTGTGAGTAAAATTTGATTAATATTCATGTTGGAAGATGTAATCTTGGTATTTTACACAAGTATGCAAGTTGGAAATTTTTTTATCATTGGATGGTTAATTTATTTTTCCAACTCCCTTTTGTCAAATCCATTATTAATTTGCATATTGGCAAGATTAATTTTGGACATAGCTCATTTTATTTTAAGCATAAAGTTTGACCTAATTTTGTTCAAAATTGAAATTTTGGATAAATTTAGGCTTGTGCACCAATAAAATAAATTTGTTTAAGTTAGACTTAATATTTGTTATATTTTATTTTCCCTCAAAAATTAATTCTAAAATTTGATTTAGAATTGATTATTGTCACACACAAATTGGAATTAAATTCCGAGTAAAATGCACGCAAAACGATGCAAAACCGCAAGCGTCAATAAGGCTAGCCGGGCTGCCTAGCAGCCCACATGTAGGCTGCCTGTGGTGCGCATAAGGCTGTGCATCGCTTGGTGCGTGGCTGTGTGGCGAGGAGGGGTCTGCTGTGTGGTGCGTGTGCTGGCGCATGGGGCCTTAGGCTGCTAGAACGCTTGTGCTGCTGCTGGGCAGCGAGGCAGCAAGCCCCAGCCAGCCAGCCCTCTGATGCTTGTGCCAGCAAGCTGCTAGCATGCTGCTGGTGCTAGCTAGCTAGACAGGCTGTGCTAGGCACACTTGCTAGCTGCTAGCACCACGCACCATGGTGCAGAGGCCATGGGCTGCCTAGCAGCCATGGTGCGCCATCCATCATAGGATGATGCCTTTTTTTTTTGCTGCTTAGTACTTGAGCTATGATTTTGCGATTTTTTTTCCGTGTTAATAATTTTAATTAATTATTTTAACGAGGCTAAAAACCTCGATTTTTGATTTTGCAAAATTTTGACAAATTACGGGTTATGCTGACTTAATTAATTGGATTAATTAAGTACGGATGCAGAATTTAGTGGGAGCTTAAGTAAATGCGTTAGCATTTTGCGTTTAGAAATAATGGATTAAACCACTTTGACTAGTTTTAATTAGGCGCGTTAATTGGATTAACGACCTAAGTTAGTTACTAGTTTTGCGTGTTTAATTATGTATTTCGTAAAATTGCATGGGCCGTTCACAAATAGTGAACGGGTGAATGAAAGATTGTTTTCAAAACAGGTTCTTTGAAAATGGCAACTAGTGGGGCCCGACTAGGATAGAAAATACGGACTGCGTTCCGTTATGTATTTTTGTAAATCTAAATACGGTCTGCGAACCGTTTAGTATTTTTGTACTAATTAGATTAATCTTAGTCGTTCTAGCTAGATGCTTTTATTTCATTTTGGCCAA